ACTCAAGTTCTGAAGAAAAGACCGAAAACCCCACAACCCTACCACTGTGAGGTCAGAGGAGCCTCAACGAGACCCTCCGGCGCGAGCCTTAGGTTTTTTACCCTTTTGCTTGCCGTCGCGCCTTTCTGGGTTCTTGTGACGGAATCTACTTTAAGATGCCACAATTGGGATCTATGTCGGGTTTTCCTTATTATGGAATCTACTTTAGCACTATGCATAGTCAATAACCGGGTTCTGTTATTATTGTGGTGGCTGGTGTTAAGATGCCACAATAGGGATCTATAACCTATGTGATAGGGTTCCTTATTCTTGTGGCATCTTAACGTCAGCTACCATAATAAGGGAACCCGATCATTGACTATACGTCCCTAGTGAAGTTAAGTTCCTTAACAGGAGCTTGGTTTTGGGATTTGCCTTGGCTTTTGCCAGGAGGTACCTAAACCCTAGTATAGTACCCTCAATAGTAGGATCCTTATCGTAAGGACCCCAAAATGGTACCCTTATAGCAACCCTTTAAAGGAACCCTAAAGTACCCTTGCGTTGGCCCCTGCCAGGGCGAACATCCAGAACACCGAAGCCAAGACCAGGGTACGGAGCCGCCCTCTTCGGAGAGACCCCCCGGAGTTGGGGAGGGGTGTCGAAACCTAAAGGGATCTAATTAAAGGGTTCCTCAAAAGGGATCTAAAGGGTTCCTTAAAAGGGATCCCAAGGGTTGCATTAAAGGGATCTAAAGGAAACCTAAAGGGATCTAATTAAAGGGTTCCTCAAAAGGGATCTAAAGGGTTCGTTCCTTAAAAGGGATCTAAAGGGTTCCTGAAAGGGGATCTACAGGGCTCCTTAAAGGGGATCCACAGGGTTCCTGAAAAGGGATCCAAAGGGTTTAGGCTTAGGCTGTAGGGTCTACTTCTTCGGAGAGACCCCCGAGTTGGGTAGGGGCGTCGAAAGCTGTAGTACTTGGAGGATCAGGGGACTTGGTAAGTAAGGTTATGAATGAGGTTGCTATCCTTGTGGCTACTTTCACCGTTGTAACCCCAACTTGAGGTACTTATGTCCTTACTTACTAGATCCCATGATCCTCCGAGTATGCTTTGCGCAGAAGGGCGCGGGTGAGCACATGTTTCTTGGGGATATGCCCAGAGAGCCCACACCCTAATCCCTATAGATCCCTTATAGATCCCTCCTAAACCCTAAACCCTAAACCCTAAACCCTAAACCCTAAACCCTAAACCCTAAACCCTAGGTATACTCCTTAATTAAGGGGCCCCTTGGGCTCTCTGGGTGGGTTTCTGCTTTGGGGCGGCTTCCGGGTCGCATGACTTTGTGGCACAACCCCCCAGACCTTCCAAAATCCCCTTCCTAGGGTGCCTGGGGTTCCTTCAAAGGGGTACTATAAGGGCTCCCTTAAGGGATCTATAGGGTTTAGGGTTTAGACCTTCCAAAATCTCTTAATTAAGGAATATACCTTAAATTATAATAGGGTTCCTAATATGAATTAAGGTATATTCCTGAATTAAGGGATTTTGGAAGGTCTGGGATACTTCAGTGGTGCGTCTCTAGTTCGTAGGTGTGGCAAGTGCACTTCAAGCATTCTCCCATTCTTCAAACCTCAACCCTTCTCTAACCGGCACCCTGCATCCCAAATCCCAGTAACGCTATCCTCTCCCTTCTTGGCTCTAGAACTTCCATATGGGTAGTTTTCAAAATTATGGTCCTTTTGTGGGTACCCTCAAGATTAGGTGCCGTATTATGATAAGGACCCAAAAAGAGACCCTGATTTTGACAACCACCCATATCATCAATTTATATCATCACCTTAAACCCTAAACCCTAAAACCCTATAGATCCCTTAAAGGATCTCCTTAAAGGTACCCAAATTTTGACCATCCCCGCTTTTTCCTTCGCCGTCCTAGTTTTCGCGAGCCCGTAAAGGGAACTCCAGAAAGTTGGAATATGGATTAATGGTAGGATCCCCTATAATTTACCTTAAAGGGGTTACGATAATGATATTCCAACTTTCTGGCTTCTACTGTAGCCTCCGCAGCCCCTCGGCTCAGCCCCGGGTGTGGCACCCTATCCGAGAGCGCACGACGTCCGCTACGTGGGGCGGTTCGGGCCCCAGAAGGATGGGTTTAGGGTTCAGGGTTTAGAGTTTAGGGTTTAGGGTTTAGGGTTTCGAGTTTAGGGTTTAGGGTCAGAGGTCAGTGGCTTTAGGCGTCATGCACTTGAGTTCGAAGGCAGCATCGGAGCTTTGTGCAGAACTCGCTGCTCCTGCGTAGATGCCAGCAACCCTCAACACCCTAAACCCTAACCCCTAAACCCCTAAACTAGAAAACCTCCCTCAACACCCTAAACCCTAACCCCTAAACCCCTAAACTAGAAAACCTCCCTCAACACCCTAAACCCTAACCCCTAAACCAGATCTGAGCAGCTCAGGTATATCCCCGCGACCTTCCACTTACTACTACGTTCTTCCGTGTTTTCGCCTCGTCTGGTCCTCAGTGCTCTGCTAGCCAGAAGACTTTTGGGCAACATGAGGCCCCAAATAATTCGTTCTCGTCTTCCTCAGGGCTTCTTTATTTGGTGTGTATATATATATATATGTATATGTAGAAATAGATAGGTTATTTGTGTATGTTTATATACCACTATATTTATACGTATATACATATATATATATGTATATATATATATGTATATAGTATACATCTCCGCAAGCCCTAGCCGAATCATTCGCGCCCGGATGTTAGACTGGATGATAAGGGGGTGGGTAGCATTTTCTCTTCGTCCCAAGACGGTAAGCCCTGAACCCTAAAGCCTAAACCCTAAAGCCTGTCCTCTCAAGCCTGAAGCCCCGAAACCCTAAACCCCTAAACCCCTAAACCCTAGACCCTAAACCCTAGACCCTAAACCCTAGCACTGATTGGCATGCTTCAAACAGAGCATCGAGGTCCGGGATGGATACCCTCGCCACCGCGGCAGCGAGCCGCGAAGTTCAGAGTGCCGTCCTGGGAGGTGGATCAGGGACGGTTGACAGATATATATATATATATATACATATGCATATATACATAACAGGGATAAGGTTATAAGGGTTTACACATAAGAGGGTATAATCCTTATGTCATGTGTATATACAGGTTTAGGGTTTAGGGTTTGGGGTCATATAGACGTACACACATGCATACATACATACATACATACATATATTAGCCTAGTGTTACAAGATTTTGCTGTCCGTGAGTAGTTTTACCGCAGCATACCCAGGAAAACAAGGGGTTCTTAGAGCAAGGCGCTTGTCGCAGCGCACTTCTCCCAGTCCCATGGGGCAGTGCGGCATCGGCATTGGATGATATGAAAGCCCCTAAGCCCTAAACCCTGAACCCTCCGCCTGAGCCCGAAAGCGATAAACCTTACATCCTAAGGCTTAAGGAAATGGAACAGAACACTCACACCTAAATGCACTTCCCGCTACCGGAGGAGTGCTTGCGCTCTTCGTCCATGTGGTGAAGGCCCCTGCCGCTTCGTATCTGAGCGCCCTGATAATGGCCCACCAACCCGCATCCCTAAACCCTAAACCCCATACCCTAAACTCTAAACCCTCAACCCTAAACCCTAAACCCCTAAACCCTAAAACCTAAACACTCTTTATCGTATGTATTTAATCCCTATCTCGATAGTGGCAATTTGGTTTTCTCCGGGTGTTGGTTCCTCATGCCACGAAGGAAAAACCAAATTGCCACTAAATGACCTCGCAATCTGGTGATTTGCGGGGTCGGATAGTGGCAATTTTTTTTTTCGGGTCTTGGTTCCTCATGCCACGAAGGAAATCACCAAATTGCCACTAAATGACCTCGCAATCTGGTGATTTGCGGGGTCGGATAGTCGCAATGTGGTTTTTTCGTGATTTGCGGGCTCATCATGAGCAACAGCTGATACTCTCAACAGAATAGTAATGCAGAACATGTGTCTGTTGTGTAGTTTCTGTATGATTTTGATGTATCTCATAAGACGGTTACGTAGCGGGCATCTTCCACCCTAAAAAATCGACAGCGCGTTTTTGAAGCTTGTGTTGATTTATGTTCATTCTGTTAATGCTGCGTAACGTTCGGTGATAGTAGCTTTAAGCTGTGAATGAAGTGAAACTCTTTATTTTCTTAATGTTATGGGATTCTAAGGGTGGGTGGGTGTTCTTTCAAAACCAGAAATACTACTTTACTGTAAAACTGCTCGATCCGGAGCTGCTGAACCCCTAAACCCTAAACCCTAAACAAACCCAGTTTTTTGGGCGTTTTGGGCAGGGCGCCTTCGCCCAGAAGCCTCGCTCTTCCTCGAGGCTTGTGCTGAGCTTAGCTCTTTGTTTAAAGATCAGGGCTTTGAGGTTTTAGGATTGTAGGGTTAGGTCATTTAGGGTTGTAGGATTTTAGGGTTTAGGATCTAGGGTTTGGGGGCCCTCGTCTTTGAGGGTCGATTTAGGGATCCATAAGCGTTCTATAGAGTTCAACGCTGTGTTTGTTTATTGCTGCGTGGAGTTATTGTTATCATAGTGGCCGTCTGATTACTGCCGGCATTGCTAATCTTGTAGTTTTCGTTCCGAGTGGTAGGATTTTCATCATTCATGTAAACATGGCTGTGATGTACTCAGTTTTGGGTGTAGGCTATCTCATCACGTGCTTTTTGACAAGCTCTGTATGATATGGGCCCATGAGATTGTCTCGGGCTGAACAACATTACTGTACATGAGGGGTTTTGGGGTCATGAGACATCCAATGAGTAAGGGATGAACGGGGGTGAGAAGTGCTCTACTTGAGTGTAAGCTCACTCTCTTACGATACATTCTTACAGTGTGCTAACTCTCCACAAGGTCGCGGGGGTGTCTGACGGCCCTCCACTCTGAACGTGAAGCGCCGAAAGCCTAAAGCCCCAAACCCAAAATGGCTACGGTTGAAGGCACCGTGGCTGCAGGATCTCAGTAGTCTCCCAGCCCGCAGCTTCCGGCAGTCATGAGTGTCGTGGGTGCCGGCATCCTGGAGCCAGTGTGGAAGGTCTCCCAGATCTCAATCAGTACCTGCGATGGAGATGAGGCTGGGCTCTTGCTAAGGAACTTAGTTTAAGGTAATAGGGATCTAAAATTTATAGTCTGGCTTCTTACTTATGGTAACTTAATTTAAATTCGAACTTAGTTCAAGTTATCGTAATCGGGATCTATAGTAAAACAATACGGTTTCCTTAAAGGAATCTAGAACAAAAAAGTATGGTTTCCTTATGATGGTTACATCCCTGAACAAGAGCCCAGGAGGTCGAAGGGTCGATGGGACGTGCGATTACGCGCTCTTCCGACTGCAGCGAGGACTCCTCAAAGAGACATAGCCCTTAACCCTAAACCTAAACCCTAAACCCCTAAATCCCTAAACCCTAAACCCTATACCCTAAGCCGTTCTTCCGACTGCAGCAAGGACTCCTCAAACTCGGAGACCTCAAAAGATGGGATGAAGGTAGGTGGGATATTCCCAAATGAGAGTCCTTATACAAGGGATCCTTAATCCTACGGTTGATGATATAAATCCTGCATTACCTTAAGGACCCTAATTCCCAAATGAGAGTCCTTATATAAGGGATCCTTGATCCTACCCACCTTCATCCCACCTTTACTTGGAGGGTCGGGGGACTTAGTAAGTAGGTAGTAAGTAGACTTATAAGTAGCCTAGAAGGGACCCTAATTGGGGTTATGGTACTTATATGTCCTCAAAATAACCAGGTTACTAAGTCCCCCGACCCTCCAAGTACCCACCTTCATCCCACCTTTAGAGGACTCCTCAAACAGACATCGGCGGCTCTGGGCTCGGGCTCTGGACTCTCGTTGGAAGCTGTCTCGCACAGAGCCTGAGCTTTGGAGTACCATACTTTTCATATCTTTCCTTTAAGGGATCTATAGGGTTTTAGGGTTTAGGGTTTAGGGTGATGATATAAATTGATGATATGGGTGGTTGTCAAAATTATGGTCCCTTTTTGGGTACCCTAAATATTAGGTGCCGTAGTATAATAGGCACCCGAAAAGGGAGCCTAATTTTGACAACCACCCAATACTTTTTTCGTAAAGGAACCATTATGAAATACAGGTTCATACTTTGTTCTCCCTGGTGACTAATAAGCCCAGGAGCTCAAGGTGAAGAAAGCGCTTTGCAGGACTCCGAAAAGCATTCTGTACCACGCCTCCTGGCAAGGTGTCGATGTGGTGGTCAAGTGCGCTGGCGCGCATGACGATGGCATGGGCAGACAGTTCCCAGGCTGTTCAGTGGTACACCTTTTTACTTTCAGGTTTCTGGGTTCCTATTCTAAAATAAGAAGTCTATAAAAGTATATACTTTGTCCCAGTGGGTTACTGAACAGCCTAGGTTCTGGATCAAGGAAAGGGCGGTCTCAGAGGAGCTCTTGCACGAGATCGACCTTCTCTCGTCGCTGCGACATCCTGATCTTGTCATGTTCCTTGGGGCCTGCATCGAGCCTTAGGGGTACTTAGAAATATTTTTAATTTTTGGTTATTATAATCCCTAAGAAACAGCCAAAATTATAATTTTTGCTAGGGTTCTAAGTCCAGTATAGGAGCCGCACATGCCAATCATGTGCGTGACGGAGTTCTTGCCCGGTGGAGACCTGGAGCGCTACTTCATGGCCCAAAGGAAGAAGCTAGGATGCCCAGTAGTACCCTTATTCCCTTCTTGTGGTCGTAGGTTCCTTATAAAGTTACCCAATACCAAAAAGAGAGGCCTTTTTATTCTTAGGTTACTGGGTATCCTAGGAAGCATGAATCGGCGATCTGGCGCCCTGCGCTCCCCCGGGTGATTCAGTGGAGTTCCGCCATAGGCAGGGCACTGACCTTCCTACACGACCTTGACGTTGTTCACCGAGATCTGAAGCCACTGAATCTGCTGCTGACCAAGCATTTGGAGATCAAGGTGTCTGATTTCGGCCTCAGTCGGTTGATGGCTCGGGAGTGCGACAAGTACTCGATGACTGGCGGCATTGGCAGCTATCGCTACATGGCGCCTGAGGTTGTGAGATGCCAGGCTTATAACCAGAAGGTGGACATTTATGCGTACGGCCTCATCATGTACTTCATGAGCTCCGGAAAGGCACCTTTCCACCAGCTGGGCCCCGACCCAGAGCTTATCTTGCTTCATTACCAGCTAGGAAGCTGGGTTCTTGTTAAGTTCAGGAGTTTGGTTTAAGCTACCATACTAGGGATTTATAGTAAATAATGTGTTTCTCCAAATCTTGTAGCTTCCTCCTTAGCAAGAACCCAGGAAAGGAGCCACGGCCGGTTCTGCTCGACTGCCCTGCCAAGCTGCGCCCCATCATGGCGGCTGCTTGGCACGTCACGCCTGCCGAGCGGTCGTCTGCTCAGGATGTTCTGGACAGCTTGGACCCTTTGTCATAGTTGGGTAGCACTTTGCATGTTTAAGGGTACTTAAACCTAATAAGGATTGAAAGTTTTAATTTTAAATCCTATCCCAAGCATGAACTAGGACCGGCTACAAACTTCGGCATCCTGCGTGCCATGTGCTCAGATGTGAAGTTTCTTTTTTCAGCAGCGTACCGTATTGCGCGTTCAGTACAGGGGCCTTAATAATCACCTATACTATTTGGGGGGTTCCTTATAATAATTGTGGGCCCCAAGCCAAAACCCTATTCTACCTATTGAGGCCCCTATACTACCGTATTGCGCGTTTAGTTCGGATCACTATGGTCACCATGGGAACTTTAGGGGTCGTAGAACCCCCCTAAAGTTCCCAGTCTTGTCCAGCACCGGTGACTGTACTCAGAATGATGTACAGCCTCCTTTTTCAAGCACCCCGAGCTCTTTGGTGGAGCCAGGGGAACCCTTTGCACAGTGCATGGCCCAGCTACACTCTTCGAGTCGTCTCTAAGGCGAGCAGATAGATGAAGCTGGTCATGGTACTTAAAGGATCATGGGACTTAGTAAGTGGGGTTTTAGTTATGGTAACTATACTTATAACTACTTATAACCCCGTATAGCCTTACTTAGCAAGTCCCATGATCCTCCAAGTATTGACAGCTATCGGACTTCGGACCTAGACAACTTTTAAGACATTCTGGTCCGTCTCTGAGTCAAGCTCAACTTGGAGGCCCTGTTGACTTAGTAAGTCTACTTAGTATCCCCTAGAAACCCCATTATAATCCCCATAACCCACCTTACTAACCCTACTTACTAAGTCAAAAGGGCCTCCAAGAACGGTTTTGTGTAATTCATCGCCCTCTGAGAGTCAAGCAACGGGGGATGGGCCGTACATGTCCCAAGTCTGATCGACTGGACTAGGCTGGAAAAGCTCAACCCTAAACCCAAAACCCTAAACCCTAAACCCTAAACCCTTAAGCCTTAAACCCTAAACTCTGAACCCTAAAACCTTAACCAGTAAAGCCCTAAACTCTAAACCCTAAACCCCAAACCCTACGAGTCCCTTTAAAGGCTCCCTTTTCCGGACCCCCTGTGTTTACAAGGCCCCTTCTTCAAAGGACTCCTTTAAGGGGGACCCCTATTATAGAACCCCATAGTACCCTTTAAGGGGGACCCTATTTTAGAGCCCTCCAGAACCCTAAACCCTAAACCCTAAACCCTTAGGGGGATCCTCGGCTTCTTGGGGCCAGGCTCCGCTGTTCCCTGCGGCCGGGGCGGCTCCTGGCCGCCTTTGGCGCCTGCTCGCTGGGAGGTGCCGGGCGAGGGGGGGGGAGGTGCTTTTTTTTTTTTATGATGATGATGATGATTATTATTATTATGATTATTATTATTACTATTATTATTATTAATTTATTTTTTTTAAAGTTTGGGTGCGAGCGCCTGAGACACCCTACTATATGGGTAGTTGTCAAAATTAGGGTCTCTTTCTGGGTACCTTTAATATTAGGTGCCGTATTATATCAGGGAACCAAAAAAAGGGACCATAATTTGGACAACCACCCGTATGGCCTTTATAGTTTCCTTTTTTTGTTGCGGGGGTTCCCTATTATAGTTATAGTCTAATGGGCCCCGAAACCCTCTCCTAATTATCAAGGCTCCTATATTAGGGGTTTGAGGGTTTCGGGTTCAGACTTGAGAGTTGCTGGCTGATTGAGTCGGACATTTTTGGTCCGGTTCTGGGAAGGTTTGGAGGCCTGGGAATGGGGGAGCCAGAGGTTCCAAAACCTTTTTTCTGTTGCTTCATCATATAATTTAAGCTATATTGAGGTCTTGGGCTTTCATATTCCTTGATTGATTAAGAGGAATATATAGGTTAGAAGCTGCCCCCACCCTGTAATAGTGGTATAATAGGAATATAATAGGGCCCTAATATAATATTAATATAATCCTTATAGTCACTATTACAGGGTGGGGGCAGCTTGGGCTTTCTGGGGAGCCCTGGTCCCGTGAGCAGTCTCTCGATTCACGTCCAGGTCTCTGCGTGCACGCCACCAAGAATGCCGTGCAACATGGCCCCTTCTCGGTGAAGCTGAGGCCAGGGTTAGACCCTAAACCCCAAACCCATTAAACCCCGAAACACTGCTGGTTGGGGTTTCTTAGTGAAATCGACCCCAAAATAACACCGGAACTGAGCTTTAAGGCCTCTTCGAGGCTGCCAGAAGGGCTTTTTCATCGAGTCCCGGGATTCTGCAGTGCTCAGCGGGGCTTCGCAGGTAAGTATTCCTTTTGAAGTCACGTTGCTTATACGTTGTCTTACCTTTGGTTAGTAGGGAATGGAAGAATGGTAGCAAGGGTTGTTATAATGGTACCCCATTCCTCCATTCCCTACTAACCAAAGGTAAGTTGTTTGAAGACTTGCTCCGTAGCATTTTTCAGATGTTCTCTGGCGTGCCATGCAGCAGGCGTCAGCTCATCCCGCTGCACAGTCCGAAACCCAGAAAAGGCGTTGAACGGATTGGGGTCGACAGCATACCCAGAGAACCCAGTACCACTTGCGTAGGGTATGTTTACCTTATCGGGCTTCTTAGAATGATTTAAGATACATTCCTCAACTAAGTGGTGATGGGCTCTCTGGAAACTCCACCTAAATCCGTGCATCTTGAAGTGCAGAACCATTGCCAGGTCACAGGTACTCGACAGGGATCTGTAAACACGTCTCCTCTGGGTACGGTGCAAGAAAGTGCGGGTACCCCTTGTAATTGCATGCGCTGACTCTAAAATCTAAACACCAAACCCAAATCCTAAACTCCAAACTCCTCGTGCACTTTCGGGGCCCAAGCCGTCATCACAGGGTGTATGCTTTGCTCCAGAGGCGCAAAAGAGAGCAATTATGGTCCTCGTAATTCTGAAGCGTGCCGACGGGTTCGTTCATGCTCTCTCCGTGGAAAGTGGCGACGTCATAGATGTAGCCTTAGGGGTACTTAGAAATAATTTTTAATTTTTGGTTATTATAATCCCTAAGAAACAGCTAAGATTATAATTTGTGCTAGGGTTCTAAGTCCAGTATAGTAGCAGGTTGACATCCAGCTTCGAGCAGATGCTGCACGAGATGCCCAAAGGGAAGAGTCCGAGTAGCCATGGCAAAGATCAGAGGGACAAGGTTTCCGGCGGATCAATCCAAAAGCGGCCTCGGCAAAGCACTCCGTTGCCTTTGTTTGCAGACACGGAGTGGGCCAAGCTAAGCCTTCCGTCCGTTGATTTGCCACTTCGAGTCCAGCAGCTCACCAGATACGCTAGGATCCAGAGAGCACCTGAGAAATCCTCTCTATACTAGCTTGCGTTGCGTACGGTTCGAGGTGCACGCGCCGTGCGCAACGCAAGATGCAATTTAGCGCAGGGTCACAGAGTAGGACCCTCACAGACGCTTTGTATTAGCTACAAAGCGTCTGCTTGGGCCCGACTTTGTGACCCTGGGCTGAAATCCTGTCCCTTGACTTTTTCAGCCTGAAAAGCTCAAAGTAAGCATTGATAACCATGACGACCGGCATGACTCACCTCATGCTGATCCTCCACCCGATCCTGCAACTCCTGCTCTGGTTGTGTGAAATGCCCAAAAAGAGCTTGCCTCAGTGGGAGTGGACTAGGGCATAGGGTTTAGTTTTTAGGGTTTAGGGTTCGTGCAATGATTTGAACCTCAACTTCGGAGGCGACGCGGCCAAGCTTTGCGATGCAGTGGCAACTCCAGCAGTTGAGGGCATTGGACCTCTTTGGAGGGGACGCTTTGTGTAAAACTGATGCATCAAGCACATACGTGCCTAGACCCAAGGGGGTGGTACTGTGTTTGGTATCACTCCAAACTGCTCTCACCTGTCGCGGTGAATGCGCTCGAACACCTCGACGGCAAGAAGAGCTAGCAGTGCTGGTTCGGCGGTGATGACGCATCATGCTCCTGGCAGCACTTACCATGAACAGGAAGCTTGCGAAAGAAGAAGAAGAAGGCGTTGTATGCATGAATCGTACCTGACCATCGTGGCATAAGCTCCAAACCCCAGAAACCTTGAAGCCTTAGGCTCAGGCCCTGAACCCTAAACCCTAAACCCCGGCTCAGGCGAAGATGGCGTGGTACATCACAAGAGTGCCTACTATGGCCAGATTACGGTGGGTGCGCCCACACCGCAGCAGTTCGAGGCCCCCGGCACAGACCGGGCTTGGAATGCAGTGGTCAAGGCAATAGCTATAGAAACTTTCGAAATTAGTACCTCATTTATAGATAAGGAGCGAAAGAAAGTAACTCTAAATAGAAACAGAAAGAAGCTTAAACATGCTTCCCTAATTCGAAATCTACATTTGTGTTTGTATCGGTATAGACATGTCTGTATATATTAAAACCAATCCTTCAACCAGTCAATAAGTACATATGTGCATGCATGCATGTGTGTATGTATGTATGTATGTTTGTGCACAGACCTTGCCGATACATAGACACAGAATAGGTCGGTCTGTGCTTATACTGATGTCGGGTAACCTGACCAATACTTCGTTTTGCTTCCCTGCTTGAACATGGCAGAGCTTTAAACTTGACTTATGTTAACGTTTAACTGGTCTTACAAGCATGATGTAGGGTTCTATTATACGGTTTCTTTACGAGGGTTGAGGTGTTTATGTTTTTTGTAGGTAGTGTTGTGGACAGCTTCACAAGGTTTAAGGACATGCTTTCCTTTCTGGCTACCGGTGCCGTCGCTGTACATCTACTTCAGCAGGCTCTAAACACTGAGCCTTTTGCAGATAAACGTTGTCCTGCAAGTCCCAGCTGCATCCGCACAGCCTTCTCGGCAAGCAGGTGGTGTTCGACACAGGGAGTGGGCATTTGGCTGGACTCTCAGCCATGGTCTCTCATGAGGACGCCACTTTTTGTGTGGAGCCGCAGCACTTTTGGCGACAACTAAGAAATTCCTCCGAGACTCACCCACTCCGGTTTCATCTGCAACATTCGCGCACCTTGTAATATGGGGCCTCCTTAT